AAAAAAAAAAAAAAAAAAAACAAAAAAGGAAAAGATGAGAATGTATTAAATCATAATTAAACGCATAATTAAACATAGCTGATATAGGCAGAGTGATAACTTACCACAGCTATGTTCCCGAATTTATCAGCAGTGGCGACGGTATCGTAATCCAACACACACGTCGTTGTGATCCACCTGGGATGCGTGTCGTCCGCGAAAACGATCAATTGATTTTCTTGGCGCTTATACCGTACGGCGTATACGGATTCTTGTACATCGCTCACGTAAATCCGTTGACCGATCGCATTGATCGACACAACGGCGTTGGGTATGTGTTTATTCTCGCACTTACGTAATAATTTCTTTTTACCCATGTCATAAAGTCGTAACATCCTACCTACACCAACCAGTACTCGGCCCTGATATGGACAAATGGCTAATGGTACTTCGTCCAACGGGGATTTGTGCAAGAGCTCGATACTAGTACAAGTCGCATTTACTCTAGAACAAAAAGCAATCGTTTCTTATTCTATTTTATCGTGAGAAATACCACATTCGTTGAAAGATATCGTAAACTTTCAGTACTGCAGGACTGTATCATCAAAATACAGACATTCAATTTGATCATCAATTCAAGATCTATTATGAAAAATGAGGATGAGACATGGTTTCGTGAAAGCGACTAATTCGTAATCGATGTGTCTAGATTCAAATTCAACCATATTGCATGTATGTTTAATTTTATGAATTGATTTGGACAGTTAAAAATAAAAAAGTAATGGGATAAATGATAATTTGAAGAACTTATCATAATGATAGTTTAATGCAGACTAATAAGCAAGACATCTTACTTGTATGTATAAAGAAAACCGCCATTGCTAACTCTGGGGTTCAATTGAAATTCCTTTGCAACTCCGACAATGAGAAACAGCTGATCGCCTTGATTGGCAAATTTTACTAGACAAAGACTGTAAAGAAGAAGAAAAGATTTGTAATATTTTAGATTTATAATAATTTCAATAAAAATGATTTTTTTTTTCTTCACTTACCATAATGCAGCCAGATTTTGTTCAAAGCGATGAGCTTCAAACGTTTCTCCAGTAGTCGGTGCCATTATTCTCAATAAAGAAGCCCATAATCCAGGACCCGCCCGCGGAGCACCAAAAACTGCTTCGTTTGTCTCCTCTGTTAAGAACGCCTCTGCCAATTCGCGAGCAACGGCAGCTTCCTCGGCACCGGCTGCTTCTTGCATTTCCTCAGCCATTTGTAACCTTCTCTGCTGTTTCGTCTCATCCGTATAAGCATTGTGTTCCGTCTCAATAACAATTAGATGGGCGGAATCGGCATGAATCGCGAATTTTCTCGGCGTGTATTCTAGAGGGAAGCTCACTTGATTGAACACAGCGCCGAGTTTCTCAAGCGCAAGAATCCTCAATGTGTTTGTCGATATAGCAACGATACCCTCCGGACATTGTTCCGAACTGAAGCCGGATGCAAATTCAAGACTTTCATATGAAAGTGGAGTTAGATGAAAACGATTCTGGTGATAATAACTGAGCCAAGATCGACTACTCATCGCCAACACTGCTTGATTTCCCTGCATCCGTATTCTGAATAGCTTTACAGGACGAGAACCCAGATAGCGCGTTCTTGTATCTGCGAGATCACCGGAAATTGGATCTAATACAGTCCTAAGCAGCACGCCATTCTGCAAACCTGAAATTAATGGTAACAGTGGCATAATACATATTTCTTTTTTTAATATAAACTTATAGGGGCGCGTTGTGGCTTTGTGAATTAGCGCGAGGCTTGTAAGTCAGAAGTCCCGATTTGAATCCCGATTCCGGCCGACAATATTTACAAGCGACGGCTCTCTTCTACGGAAGTCTGGCAAACTGCCTAGAGAAACTCTGCCGAGAAAAATCCCTGTATTGGCCGTTTGGAACCGGCGTAACAGTCCCATATATCCGTGTTAACAACACGCGCACCAAGAATATATGCAGGGATACCCGAAAGGCGAGAAATCGGACATATATATAAACATACATATATATAAACTCATTCGGGGGCTCAAGCCATGCTTGATGCAATCTCTCCTGTCATGCTCCAGGAGGATTATTTATATATTTGCCAATGACGTTGGAGGGTGTCGCCGCTGCAGTACGACCTGCATCCATCGAGAGAATAGGATCATCCCATCATCTCTCTGGAGTACCGGTCGTGGGGATTCGAGAGAATACACGTATATATGTATATTGTAGTATACGTATATATGTGTATCATTGTATTGTTAACGTTGTTATTACTAAACTACGTTATTG